CTAGCTGAGCGATGATATAATATATAAGATACTAATTAAGCCAATAATGGGTTGTGTTACCGATAATGTGAATGAGGTCACAGGATCAAGCTAGGTCATACAATTTTTATTTTATATAACAAAAAAAATGTGGATTTATACAAGGCTGTAGCAAAGGGTAACATTGAACCCTTTAACAAATTACTAAAAGCACCAATAATTAATCCAATTTTTTTTTTTTTTTTTTTTTTACTTTTAACATGTGACTAAAAAATTAATACCATTTTAAAAAGGTAAAGCATTTATCATTATTAAAACAACAAGCTTCAATACAAAATTACAAGTACATTAACACAACTTGCAAGATAGAACATATTTTTTGTATGATAGTGAGCAGTAGGAGTATAACTGCTACAATCGTTGTTGTGCCTTTCCATAGTATAAAACTCAGAAAACGGAGGGCAAGAATAGGTTTAAAAAGGTTGAAGCATTGTATTTTTCACGTTAATATCATCTGTCCCTCCATTTACAATTTGTAGAGAAATGAAACAGGGATGATTCCTGTTCATAGTCATCTCAGCTGCTCAATCTATATTGTAGAGCTTTTATTATAGCCATTAGATTGGTTTTTCTTGATATAAGTTGCATGGCAACTTGTCAATTTGCATCATAGATGGATTATAACTTGTCAACTTGCATAACAGTTTCTACCGCAACTTGTCAAGTTGTTCAACTGATTTTGATCCACTTGTAGTTTGTTGAAGAGAAAATGAAAAGTGTGTTGACATCTGAGAAACAAACTTTAACTACTTGAGCTAAAGTTTGTTACAGTTAACATTGTCCCTCAAGCTGAAGTTCAAGCAGCAAATTTAAATGAAGTTCAAGCAGCCAATTCAGACGAGTTAAAAAAAAAAAAAACCAATCAATCAAATATCATTTGTTATCTTCCTAATCGTCCATTAATTCGAAGTTTGTAGCTTGCCTTAATCCTGATCATCCCTCAAGCAAGAACGAGGAAGAGGAAACGTATGATGCTAAGTGAAGTTGATCATGAATAGCACAAAAGCGAGAACTAGAAAGAGGTTTAGTCAAAATGTCAGCCACTTGGAAGGCAATAGGAACATATTGGACAACAAGTCATTTGGAACAGACCATCTCACGAACAAAGTGAACATCGATTTTGACATGCTTTGTGTGGGCAAGGAAAACAGGATTTGAAGCAACAGCTCCCACACTAGTGTTGTCGCACCATAGAACAGGAATTCTGGGGAGGGAGATGCATAACTCTTGGAACAATTTCTAAAGCCAAGCAATTTCAGTTGAGGCTTGGGCAAGAGCTTTATATTAGGCTTTAGTCACAGACAGGGCCACCATTGATTGTTTTTTGGAACACCACTGAACCAGTTTGGAAACAAGGAAGATGCAATATCCGGTGGTGGATTTGCGATCGAAAACGTTGCCAGCCCAGTCAGCATCAGCGTAACCTTCTAGTTGCAAGGTTTCACTCTTGGTGAAGTTAAACCATTATGAATAGTCCCTTGAACATACCGAAGGATATGCTTGCAAGCTTGTCAATGATTTACTGTTGGAGCTTTAAGGAGTTAGCTAAGTTTGTTGACCACAAAGGACAAGTCAGGATGCGTGAGGGTAAGGTATTGGAGTGCACCAATAAGACTCCTATAAATTGATTGTTGGCCAAGGAGTGGACTATCTTCAAAGGTCAATTTAGAACCAAGTATCATTGGTGTGGAGCAAGGATTGCAATTTTGCATTCCATAGTTGACTAACAGATCTTGAGCATAGGTGCCTTGATTTAAGAGTAAGCCATATGGAGTGTGATGGATAGCAATGCCAAGGAAATAGTGTAACTTGCCCAGAATCTTAAGACCAAAGGTGTTGTCAATGTTTTGAACAATTTGGTGCATCAGCTTAGGATCACTCCTAGTGAGTACTATGTCATCCACATAAACTAAAATGTATAGTTTAGTTGTCCCTTGATGGTAAAAAAAATAGATTGGAATCAAAAGTGGAGTTATGGAAGCCATGAGATAGTACATTGAGTTTATCAAACCATGCCCTAGGGGCTTGCTTTAATCCATACAGAGCCTTATGTAATTTGCAAACATAGGTGGGATTATTTTTGTTAGTAAAGCCTTCAGGCCGTGTCATGTAAACAGATTCTGAGAGGTCTCCATTTAAAAAGGCATTATTTACATCCACTTGCTGCACATCCCATCCATCATGAATTGCAAAGGTAAGAATAACTATAATGGTGAAGGCCTTGACAACAAGGGAGAAGGTCTCAAAGTAATCTACACTAGGGGTTTGATGAAATCCCTTTGCAACAAGCCATGCTTTACATCTTTGGAAGCTGCCATCAACATTGTGTTTAGTTCGAAAAACCCATTTATTGCCAACCAATGTCATATCAGGGGAGTGAGGCACAAGAGACCAGATAGCGTTATTGGCACAAGAGACCAGATAGTGTTATTCTGTAGTGCTTCGAATTCAGATGTCATGGCTGCATGCCAACATGGATCTTGCAAGGCTGCTGAAACTAATGAGGTTCTATAGGTGCGTCAGTTGTAGTAGTGCCGAGAAAAGCAACAACCTTTGCTCTTGTAACCATGGGATAAAGATTTTGAATTTTTGGAACAACAGGTTTAGGAGTTTGTGTTTGTTTTGTAAGGTGTGTAGAGGTTGAAAATTTTTTTGGGCGAAGATCAACCTCCAAATGTATAGGAGAATAGTATGTGGAAGTGGGAATAGATGTTGATGTTGATGTTGAATTTGAGGTGGAATTTTGTAAGAGTTTATCAGCAGGAGATATGGGAATGGTATCATTCTGAGGGAATTTGGAAAAAGGTTTAAGGAAAGTAGGGGGTACAGGCAGTTGCCAAGGGGAATATGTGTTTGTGGGATTTGACTGTGGTGTTTCCAAAGGGATAGGAGTTGTTTCAGAGAAATTGTGAGCAAAGGGAAAACAACTCTCATTGAATTTTACACTTTGTACAGTGTAAACTCTGCCATGATTGTTTAAACATACATAGCCTTTGTGATTTGAACTGTAACTGAACAAGACACATGCCTCAGAATGGAAAGAGAATTTCTGCTTCTAATAGGGCCTGATAAAAGGGAAACACTAACAATCAAAGGTTCTGAGTGCTATGTAATCAGGAGCTTTATTGAATAGCATTTGGAAACGGTTGTTATGCATCAAGGTGCCTGAGGGAAGTTAGTTTATCAAATAAACTATTGTATGAAATGCAAACCACCAGTAACGAAGTGGCATGGAAGCTTGAGCTAGAAGTGTAAGTCTAGTTTCAGTAACGTGGCAATGCTTGCGTTCGACCTTGCCATTTTGATGGTGAATATGGGGACATGGATGGCAAAAATGAATTCCTTGTTGAGTAAAGTAAGCAGTTAGGGGTTTGAACTTACCACCCTAATCAGCTTGAAAAGTTCTAACTTTCTTGTCAAATTGTTGATCTACTAGTTTGATGAAATGAGTGACAGTGGCACAAACTTCAGACTAAAATTTCAGAGGGTAGATCTAGGTATATCTTGTATAATAATCCATAAATAGTTAATGATACCTAAAACTAGTGGTTGAAACAATTAGAGATGGTCCCCAAACATCCGCAAACACCAATTCAAAAGGTTAAAGAGATTTGGAGGAAGATGAAGGCTAGGCATTAAGAGGAAGTTTTCCATACTGACAAGCTTCACAAAAGTGAACTTTATTGATTTCAGCATGATGCTTTACATTCATATTATTCACAATAGTTCTAAGAACAAAAAAATGGGGATGGCCTAATCTTCTATGCCACAACAAAACAGCATTGTCAAACATACCAGTTGTAGAACTTTTTGCCAGTTTGATGGCGTTATTGTCTGAGTCATTCTTAGCTAAACTACACGAGCTAACATGCAAGGATGGTTGAGGAAGCATTCTAGTAGACTGATAAGAATGTGACTCGAGAGAGCTACGCAGAGAGCCACCATCTGATTTATTTCCAACTCTTCTAATGGTTTCAAGTTGGTACAGACCATTATTCAGAAACCCTTGAAGCAGAATTTCCTATGATAGCTTGTCCTTAATGATACATCCATCAGCAGAGAACTCAACAATAACATTATTGTCTTTTGTAATTTTAAAGATAATGAGCAAATTTTTGTTACATAAGGTACACAAAGTATGTTTCAAAGATAAATGGACTTATAACGATAATTTAAGGGAAAAATGGTCAAACATGTATGTGAGATTCCAAGGCATTGTCCATTTCCAACTTGTAAAGTTTCTGGACCATTATACCGGCTTTTGAAAGACAGCTTATGTGAGTCAGGAGTAATGTGGTGAGTTGCTCCTGAGTCAATGAACCAATTTGGATACATGATTGTGAGAAATGAAGCCACTTGTGAAGAATTTACTCTCTGATAGTTGTTAAAAGCTATTTCAAGGCCATGTGTAACTGATCCTAAAGGGTGCTGCAGTTGTGAGTTTAATGCATTTGATTGACACTTCAGTGTTGGAGGTTGGTCACTTATAGTATTCATGGGGACCATAGTGGACTGGTTTGTATAGTCGGGTACAGGATATGCATTTGCAAAATAAGCTTGCATAGAGATAAAGTTTGGTCCAGGAGTGTCATAGCTTGGTACAGATTGATACCTATGGTTCTAAGCACCTTGGAAGTTTCTATCAAACTTATGATAGCATTGAAGTGCCATGTGTCCTGTTTTCCCACATAGTTGACATATCATTCTTGGCTTATAGAAATTTCTACCTCTACGATGGCTTCTTCCAAAACTTCCATTTATTGAGTGTACATCCTGACCACTTGAGTAGAAATTTCGTGACTTTATCTGACCTTAAGATGATCCATGCATAGGTTGGTTTGATTGGTGAGCTGATGCGTTGAAGTTTGGTTGATGTGGTTGAGAGTTTACAGTCTGTTTATTTGCAAGAAAAGCTACTACTTCATGAAATCCTATATAAGCTGAATGTTGTTTCTCCAATCTCATCTCATCTCATGCTTGTGTAACAGGAATTGCGCTTCTTGAAGAGAAACATCTCCACTTCGAGAGGTTAAATTTGCTACAACCGCATCATATTCGGTTCCTAGGCCATCAAGAATATACATAAGTAGCTCTTCATCATTAACAACTACTCCACTCGCAGTTAATGATCCAGCAACTTCTTTAATTTTTCGTGCATAATCGTTGATGCTCAACTTTTCTTTTCTAGTAGTTTGTAGAAGGTTTCGCAGATGCAATATTCTGGCTTTTGAATCAATAAGAAAGTGCATTTCTAAAGTTTTCCAAAGATCAAAGGTTGTTTCACAATTTGCTACATGTCTAAACATTGTTTCAGAAGTAGAGAATATCAACTAGCCAAACAAGAATTGATTAGTTTCTTCCACATAGTGTATTCTGTATTAACAATCTTTCTAGAATTATCATCAGGAGAGATTAAAAGAGCTAGAGGACACAATTTATCACCTGTAACGAATCCTTCAAGTTCATAAGCTTTCAATGCAAGGAGTACTTGTGATTTCTAGTAGGCGTAGTTCTTCTCTCCCAATTTGACATGACATTTGGTAGAGCATTTGCCAGAGGAAAGGATGATATTGAGCTTGACAGCTTTCCATCAGCATTGATGTAAGTTGATACAGGAGAGTTAGGATTAGCCATTTGACGTTTGTCAAATTCAGCTCCGGTACCATATAAAACTCAGAAAGACAAAGAGCAAGAATATAGAACTCAAAAAACAAAGAACAAGAACAAGTTTAAAAAGGTTGAAGCATTGTATTTTTCACGTTAATATCATATGTCCCTCCATTTACAAGTTGTAGAGAAATGAAACAGGGATGATTCCTGTTCACAGTCATCTCAGCTGCTCAATCTATATTGAAGAGCTTTTATTCTAGCCATTGGATTGGTTTTTCTTGATATAAGTTGCATGGCAACTTGTCAATTTGCATAAAAGATGGACTGCAACTTGTTAACTTGCATAAAAATTTCTGCCACAACTTGTTAACTTGTTCAACTGATTTTGATCCACTTGTAGTTTGTTGAAGAGAAAAAGAAAAGTGTGTTGACATCTGAGAAACAAACTTTAACTGCTTGAGCTAAAGTTTGTTACAGTTAACACATAGATTGTTGAAATATATACTTTTCTTAAAGTTGCCTTTGTTCTATTCCAAGGATTGTTATAGTGTTCCTTGAGTTCCTTGCAAATGTCATAGTAAGAGGAACAATGTAAATTGTTAGATTGACTAGTTTGTTAAACATATTTGCTATTGAAACATTGTCACTCATACGATTGGTAATAATTTGATTTCCAATAAGCAACTCCACATCTTTTTCAATATCAATAAGATAATCCATTAGTCTAATGTAATTGCAAACACGAGTATGCCATGGGTGATGACGTTGCTCCAAAGCCATAACATCTCTAAATAGACATTTAGTATCGTCGTAAATTCGTAAATGTGGTATTTGCAACTCTTGCTTTCACTTTTCAAATCTTATGCCAAGTAAGTTGCATCCTCCTTCCATACATTTAAATATCACTCCTGACTCATGCAGCTTCACTGCACAAGGTAAATCTTCAACCCATCCCTTTGATGCCTTTGATTAGGATAAGTTTCAAGTAGAATACTACTTCTCCAATTGGTGAAATGTTTAATCGCCAATTGGGGACTTAATCTAATCAACTCTAAACCTTGAAAAAAAGTGAAGTAAGAACGAAAAAGCTCTATGAATGGAAGTATGCTAGAACCAAAAAAAGTTGAATTATGTATTTCCTCAAGGACAAAGTGTGGAAGTTGATTTTCGAGTAAGCCCAAGTCCGTGGATAAAGTATTACTGTTGCTATAACTAGTTATAAGTCACTTCTATCTCCAAAATTTATATGCCATGAGAAGAGCTCTATAACGAAAATGGCATCATATAAAACCATCATTACGTACTCAAGACTCCCTAGCTCAGATGTTTCATCATAACTATTATGATGTTTCTTTTATTGTTCTTGATGAAGTTTAAAATTTCATCATGTTTCTCAATTGTTATTCTTCCAAGAAAACTTTTCATATATCTTTGTTTCTTCTTTCCTATGCCAGTTAATACATTTTACCATGGTGGAGAGGACCTATAGAAATTAATTGAAGAGTGTTGATTTTTTCATTTTACGAATGTTTTTAGGAACCTTGTAAATGCAACACTGATCAGGATCAGGATTAGGATCAAACTTCAAGTTTTGGTCAATGTCACTTAATAACTCTTTGACCAGATCCTCATGTTTAAAGGAAGCATTTATCATCTGCAAGTTCATTGTCCTATAGACAAACGTAAAGACAAGAGTCAATAGCAGCAAATCGATAGATGCAACCCTCACAAGAAAATCATTTTGTGCATGAGGTTATTTACTTAAATTGATTAATTCCAGTTCCTAACTTATAGGAAATATTATCTCATAAATCATATATATTTGTTTGTTTTCTGTATAAGCATATACATGATATTCATAATGAAATAAATATGTTCTTAAGAATCTTCATTCTATGTTAGGCATGCATGATCTATAATTTTTTAAACCAAATGTCACTAGAACCTTGGATAAATTTTTTATGGAGCAAAATGATAAAAAGAAAGAACAGTGAAAGAGTTTGTCAACTCTTTTAAGCACAATGGAATCGTTATGGATGGGTTTTAAACCAATTTGCTTGATGATCACAAAACAACAATAAAATCAATCAACCATGAACATAAGAGTAAAGCGCACAAGGAGATACATGTTTCAGCTAAAAACACTTTTAGCCTACATCAATGGGACCTAGTCCAGATCGAAGCTGATCCACTATAACAAAAACCATTGCAAGACAATCTAGAGTTGAATTTAGATACAACAAAGTAAAACTCCCTATTCTACGATACACTAAATTTTACCCTCTGATTACTTTAAGGTCATGTCACAATCAGCTTTGCTCCAAGAATCCTCCTAAGCAGCTTGAGCTTCCCTCAAGCTTCAATGGTTGAAGCTTTCCTACAACTCCTTGGCTTAAACTCCCTTTAAGCTCTTCAGTCAAGGAACCAAGTTCCTACTCTCAATAATCAACAAGGTGATAGATAAAGATAAATCAGAAACAAAGAGAACCTGAATAAAATGTGCTCTGAAAATTTTAAAGCACTAATGGAAGTTCAAAATATTAGGTCTAAGAACAAATGCAAGGAAGAAGATGAACTTTATATATCCTTGCAAGGACCAATTAACTAGGTGTTTGCTTATGGACATTACAATTTCTTAGCTAGATATGCTGGATACTTGTCGTGCTTTCATAAACAAGCTGGTTTACATAGATGAGATACTATTGGAATTTTTCGAGTTCATCAGTTTGAGAAAGTGGAGCACTTCTACATCACCAATCCAAATGGCAATGACTCATGGGAAATTGATGCGTGTTTCTTACAACATGCAAAATGTAGCAAGTATACTAGTCACTCAAGTAATAAAATGATGAGTAGAGTATCGTTCCCATGAGGATTGTTAGCAAAGCACTGAGTTTCCTAATGTTATCAAGTTGAAGCAATCAAATTCTTTGGATTGGTGGGAGCAAATTCTAATTAAAAACAACAATGAATTTTAAACTAAGATTAAAACTTAATTAAGAAAGCAATATGAAAACACGGATAATCAATTCAAGTAAAATGGGTAGGGTTTTGACTTCATTTGGATTTTTATGGGTTAAACCTAAAAATTACACTACATTCACATTCATATGCAATGGTTGTAAATCGAATTCACTAATATGTTAAACATACCCTCTCGGGCTATATTTTCCTATTCATCCTTATTAACCTTCCGCACCCAACAAATTGAAGATTAATATTAAGCAAAAGAATCCTATAATGATTTCATTAATTCTTGAATCTATCTCTAGCATCCAATACTATAATGGTGATTACCCAAGAAGCCTAACATGATTCATTTCTCAATCTCACCATGTTCATCACATACAGCATTAAAAATCAGAGTAACACATAACCAAAGCATATTCATATGAAAATAACACAATCAAACCCTTAACCCATTTAAAATTCAAACTACCATCAAAACCCTAACCCAAAATATATTAGTTCATAGCTAAATCAATAATACAAAAACGAAAATCGGAAATAAACAAGTTCAACATAATGAAACTGAGATAAAAGATTAGAAATCTCTCCAAAAGATGAATCCTCTAGTTAGAAATCGAGTCTTCTCCCTTTAACAAACCAAATCGCTCAAAGTTTACTCAGAAAAATTGCAAAAGTAGCTAACCCTAAAAAAAACGAAGACTCCTGGGCAAAATGCTAAGGTTTTCTTTTATACTTCGTCCAAATAACCCAGCCAAAATACGCACAGAACGAAACTGTGCGTTTAACAAAACTGAAAATAATGATTGTCGCCGCGGCGAAGAATTCTTCTTCGCTGCGGCGAAGAGTGAAGCAGACACGCTCGTCCCTGGCTTACTTCGCTAGGGTGAAGCTTCTTGAAAAGTTCTAAAATTACAGAACTGCCCCTCTGCTTGCTTCTTCGTTTGATTCTTCGATTCTCGGTGCTCTCCCTTGGGAACAAGCTTCATCGCTATCCTGCTCCGGAACTCTCCTATCTTCTGAGATCCGCTAATTTATGAGTCAAAAATATCCAATTTTGTCCTTATTTGCTCGAAATGTCCATTTTAACCTGAAACACGAGAAGTAAAGAAATAAGCAACAATTCAGGTCAAAATGCGCTAGAAAGTACCTGAAATCCGACAAGAAGGTCTAATGAAAAGTGTATAATTCACGGATTATCAACTACCCCCAAACTAGAGATATGCTCGTCCCCGAGCATACAGTACAAAACTGACAAAAACACAGACAACAAACAAAAACAAAAACACAAAACACACACAACAATACTGAAAAACAAAACCAACAAGACTCAACTTGTAACAACTACTGTAAACTAGTAAAATGCATGCATAATAACAATAGAAAAATGGGCCCAAAACTTTTCTTTTTATTATAAGTAATACACCTTTTATACACAAAGAGCATCATTTACAAAAAAGCCATTTTAAAAGACAAAAACAGGGGAAACAGTGTAGCTATTGCTCCTCGCTTGCCGATGCCCCTCCGACTACATCATCACCTAGATCCTGCATCCATAAAGGAAAATAACGGGGTGAGCACAAAATTATGCTCAGTAAGTAAAACCCTCTATCTGCTTATCCCCGTATGTATTTCTCTTAATTCTTTCCTCACATTTTCTGTTGTTTCCTACTAAACGTCATGGCCTCATCTTACCGGAGGCATGGCCGGATGGCATTCACACAGCACCATCTCACTCTTCATGACTGTCGGGTGGAGTTCACACAGCACCAACCCGTTCTTAGTGACTACCGTTCATGACTGTCGGGTTGAGTTCACACAGCACCAACCCGTTCTCAGTGACTACCGAGTGGGGATCACGAAGCACCTACCCCGTTTTCGTAACTATCGGGTGGAGACCACAAAGCACCTACCCGTTCCTTATGACTTTTGGGTGACGATCACAAAGCACTAACCCGTTCCTAATCACTATCGGGTGATGATCACAAAGCATCAACCCACTTCTACTAGCTAACCGGGTGATGATCACAAAGCATCCACCCATTTCTAATGNAAAT